TGACTTGTGACCTGGGCTGTAACTTATGACTTGTGACCTGAACTGTGACTTGTGACATGGGCTGTGACTTGTGATTTGTGACTTGTAACCTGGTTTGTGACCGTAAAAAAAACATGTCAAACGTACAAAAAATATAGCGGAGTTGTCGTCGGAATATTCGCCGGAGTTGGAACAATTGTGGGAATCGGAGCAGTCGCCCTAAAAAATCGATGCCGGAACGGTTGCCGGAATCGGAGTAGTCGCCTGAACGGTCGTCGGAAATTCGCCGGAGTAGGGCGGTGATCGGAACGGTCGCCGGAACGGTAGGGGTGGTGAAGGTGTGATGAATTAATTACATTATATTAAAATTAAATATTTAATAATAAATTAATTTATTTCATAAATAAAAATTTAAAAATTTTTAATAAAAATCTGATTTTGAAAATTTAAAACTTGTTTTCTTATTTTTGAAATAGATTAAACTTATACTCTTGAATATGTAATCTTCCCTAATGTAAAAGTCAATAAAGTCATATATTAATAGTAGCCCAACCCAAGCCCAACAAAATCTTTTAACATCGTACTTCCCTTCCCAGGCTCCCAGTTCACCCCTTCTCAAGCCCTGCGAAGCGATTTCAAACCCTATGAAGTGCAAACTCAAAATCGGCACCGCATCGTTCTTGAAGATGCGCCCTCTCACGTCTCAGCAACTGGGTTTGCTTTCTTTTTCTTTCATTTTGCTGTCAAGTGGATTTGTATATTATACACAGATTTTTTTGCCAATTTCGTCTTCCAACATTTGAATATTTTGTTCAATAATGAAATTTTGGATTCCAGATTATATTCATTGTTTATTCATTTAGTATATAATTATTTTTTCTGTTTGTGTTGATAATGGTTCTAATTTCTACTTCAGGATTGAATTTGTAGTTTGTAAACTTCAAGAATTCATTTTATAGTTTAATGTTTGATAGGACTGAAATTTTGTCTATTGCATAATTGAGGAGATAATGGTTGAATTTGATTTTCCCATACTTGATTTTGAAAACTTCTCCTTTTTATGACGAGAGTCAAACTTGCTTCAATTTATTTGTTTTTCAATAGTTTAATGCTGCATTCATGATTGTGTGAATAATCTTCATTAACAGTTTCACGGGATTGCAACTTTGGCAAGTTTTTCCATTTCTTGTAGGACTGGAGAGTGAGATGATCAAATCAAAATTTTTATTGGCCTCTACTTTTGTTTAGCCTCTGTTTCTTTCTATTTGATTTTAAGAAATCATAAAAACTCAAAGAATACTGAAAGAAGTCCTCTTTTTGTGAATTGGTTCCTCTATATAAAAGAGCTAGCCTAGACCATTGAAGCATAAATTAAATACTCATATCTTTATTATTGCTTTCAGTTTTAATAATAATAAGCAACAAACAATACAAACCTCATGAGGATGATAGCTGCATAACAATGCATATCTTAGTTTAAGCTTTCTTTGCCCGTCCACATGTGGGAGACTATTTGGTTGAAGGTCCAATACAACGCTATATCTCAAAGTCCTAATGTTCATAAAAGCTGGGTTAGCTTTTAGAAATTTTTCTATTTCCTGAATTACCAGCTTCCATTCTTTGAAATCAGCTTCCATTATATCTCGCCCCCTCTTAACCATAATTTTGGGTCGGCCCCTGTATGTCCCACCCCACCCCATCCTACCCTACCCTACCGTACCCCACCTTTCCTTATCCCTTACAAAATGCATATGAAGGAAAAAAAGAATAACGCTAGACGTAAATTGCTTGTAAACATTGAGGATGATGCCCTCTTGTGTGGATAAAATTTGATCAGTGAGTTGATGAAGTGTGTGTTTAAAATTAAACGCCATGATCGTTGTTACTTCATTGGATGTCAAATTTGATATCAAAGATAATGTACATATATAATGATTGAGAAAAAAAAAAATTTCTGTCATTATCACTGGTTTTCTCCCTCAAAATCTAGGTTTCAATTTGTAAGATTTCACTTCCCCATATTTTCTATTTGGTTTGTTTTCGGGTTGATGGAGTCCGAACAAGTCAAAAAATCAGGTATATTGTACATCCATGGAAAATAGTATTCCTGCGGAAGAAGACAACATAGGAAAGCTTATGAGGGAAATTTGCGATCGATAAATAATTTGTAACTTATAAAAATGTGTGCGATTAAATTTATAACCTTGATCCACAATTTTTTTTATATGTGAATGTGGTTTTGTGTGATTTGTGATTGGTATGCGATCGTAATTATAAATTGTGTGTTATTATCACCTTAACATATTTAATTAATTAATAAGTCATAAAATTTTATAAGGTGACCACCAAATTTTTGAAAATTTTTGACAATTTTTTTTATTTTTCAAAGTGTATTTTAAATGTTTGTAGTTACCTATTTTTTTCCGATTACTACTAACTATTCAAATCCATGCTACAAGAAAATCAAAATTAAAACCAACTTGATCAAGTCATAATTACTCTGGGCTACATTCAACTCGACTCGGTCAATATTGCTGACAGGGGATCGAGTTGGATAATATTATTTTAGCATTTATTTATTTTTTAAAGTTTCTTTTACATAATGTATAAAATAAGAGCAAAATTCTCAAACATTTCACAGCAAGCTACAACCAGATGGGCTTAATTGTCAGTTGGGCCCATTCCGAGCCGAGCTCTTGAGGAAAGAAGCACTCTTGGTGATTTCTCTTAAAGGCTTGTTTGTGAATCTGATGATATTGTAGACCCAAGCACCTGCTACAGCCCCAAGAGTTGGGGCCAATATGTATATCCATATTCCCTTGTATTTATTGGACACTATTGCTGGGCCCAAACTCCTTGCTGGGTTCATTGAAGCCCCAGATATTGGCCTGTCCATTAAAGCAACCAAGTATCAGGTCCATAATCGATATTTTTGAAATAAAATTTCAATATAAACTCAAGGAATAATGCTATCTATCCCCAGTGGTATTGAATACCAGTTTAGGTATCAGCATGTCATAGATCCTATTACATAAGCCATAATTCCTCATATTTAATTAAACCTGTAATTTATATCACTAGTGCTACCATCAAGATTGATGTTAAATACTCGTGGTGTTAAATAACATTACTCAATCTCAAAACAAACTATGCTCAAATTATGAACTCATTCTTACTATCCAATTTGAAAGAGCATCAGCCCATCTTATTCTTCACAAATTTTATCACGTCCTTCATGTTTGAACTCAATACATCTATCTTATGAGAGATTAAAGTTGAATCATGATATCATTAAAGCAAGAATTCTGAAAATTCGAAAGAGATCACCAAACTGGGGCTTAAAAAGTTCCCAAGATATGATTTTGAAATACAATATTTATACGAAAAATTAGCAAGATAATCGAGCATAGAACGTACCCTGCAAACATCACATTAAGTAAAATAGTCGCTCCAACGGCTAATCCCGCAAGTTCTCCAATCTGCATGGCAACCCGTATAAAAGAAAATCATAAAAATGATTTATCGACAAGAAACATATCATTGTCAACATGGTATGCTTTAATAAAAATGTCATTTTCTTCATCCATTTTTAATTATAAAAAATTCACCATGATTTCTTATCAATCCCGTTTTTTGAATTTATTAACATTAAGTAGAGAACTCTATGTTGTCTTTTGGAAGAATTATTGTAAGTACACAAAATTTTGAACCAATAATAATAAAGTGAAGGAATTAGACTAATTACAGCTCGGTTGTCGGTAGCAACTCCAGATATGACAAACATGAGGTAGAATGTGATTATAAATTCCACCACAAAAGACTGCATGTTGCTGCCGGTCGGAAGTGTTCCGCCGAAGTGGTCATGTTTTCCGCTGAACAATAATCGTAGGGTTCCGCTAGCTAGCGTGGCTCCAATCATTTGTGCAGAAACATATGCCGGGACCTAATTGGTCTCGTGACCGACCATAAAGAAATTAAGAGCATATTCGATACGTGATACTGAATATGAAAAGGATGCAATTCGAGCTGACCTAACCTGTCTCAATGGGAACCTCTTGCAGGAGGCGAAAGCAATGGTTACAGCCGGATTAAAATGTGCACCAGATATATGACCAACTGAGTAAACCATAACCATGACTACAAGTCCCCACACAATTGCGATTCCGGGCATGGTTATCACCTTGTCCTTGTCGGCGTTCACCACCACCGAGGCACAACCGGCAAAAATCAAGAAGTAGGTACCCAAAATCTCTGCAATTACCTACAGTACCAAGATAAGATAGAACATCTATATAGCAGCTTGGGAGGATTAAGGTTGTTGAAAAGAAAATTAAAGAGCGAACGTGTGTACCTTTTGTATAAAAGGTAACCAGTCTGGAGAATTTTGAATGTGCTTCTCATTCAAATCCTCCTTTATATTCAAGGCCACTCCATTTGCTCCTGACATTTCAGCCATAGTTCAGTGAAAATTTGTGATTGAGAGTGAGAAAGAGAGAGTTATTAGCTCTTGCTTTTTCTGTAACCGCAGAAAAATGTCCAATTTATTCTAATCCGAGAGAGAGAGAGAGAGAGAGAGAGAGAGAGAGAATTTTTGACTATTAATTGGGTATGGAATATCAATACAGTTTGAATATTAAACACAGCCATTAAATTACTTCAACAACTCACCACTATTACAGATAAAGTTATAATCTGGAAAATTAATTCCTGATACAAATATCCAAATCTGAACCACTTTATTTTTCCTAATTCACTACTCAAATATTATTTTTCCTAAAAAAGGTATAATCATTCCAAAAAAACCAAAATTATAAATAAAATAATTAAAAATAATATTAGTTCTTAACGATTTATTCGGTTGTTTGTGGGACGTGTCGTGCGATGCCAAGAATTTATCATCCTAATAATCGTCGAGGGATACTCTGCGGCAAATTTTAGTTCACGTAGTACATATTCTTGAAGACAAATATGTTGTCGCTGTCAAATAGCATAGATGCTATAAACATATTGTCTGCTCGATGAATGTTTTTCAGCATACATTATTGCTCACTAGATGTTCAACATGTGTAGATTGCTACAAACAGAACAGCTTCTTACATATGGAATTCAATAGAAAAATTCATTTGAACATATCGAAATGTAAGGAAAGAGCTGCCTAAAATTTAATTTCAACTTGATCCAAGTTATGATTTTGTACTCAATTAACCAATTTGATGTCAGCACTCCTTTTATGGATATGTTATTTGACACACTGTAAAAAGAAGTTCAGTGGAGAGTCTTGAGAAATTTCTCAAAATTATTCTTTTTCTTGAAAATTGATATTTCAAAAAAATTTGAGTTTTTTTTTTTTTTCTTTTTTTTTTTCATGTAAGCTTCCGTTATGTCATTATTGGAGCGTAAACTACAAAGTCTACAAATTGGAACACATTCTACAAAAAAAAAAGTTATGATTTTTCTCGGGCTTGATTATTTTCAAACCTAACGCGAGTTTTTATGATTCATTTAGAAAACTGCCATTCATTGATCTTAAATTCTGGCTGGATTGATCGATTCAAACTCGACACTAATGACATTGCCATTAATCCAATCCCAGTGTCACGCAGTAAGAGTGCTCCTATTCCCATACAGCACGACAAGGTCACCAAATGGTAGACATATTGACTAGATTACCGGAGAGTTCACTTATGGTGTCATCATATACAGGTGTTGTCTATCATCCTATATATAAGCGTGCGTGCGTGTGTGCTGGTTATTTCAAGCTTTGTCGACCTAAGAATGAAGAGAAAGCTGCTTGGAGAGCGAAGCCTCAGGGGTATAGTTGGTATCAAAGCAGAGCCGCTTGAATGTACAGTGCTAGTTGCAAGAGATAATCTACATGAGTTCTTGAGGTAAAGATTTTGGGACCACAGACTGTATCGACAAGTAAGTAAAACTACTGAAGGAGATCTTTGGGTGATGGATGATGAATGTAGGCATTGCGTGAATGTACCTATATGATTTATCAGTTTGTTTCGTGGAGCACACATTGCACATAAAATTATAATGGAGGTTGTGTTGGTACTTCGACAACTGCAGTGGCAGTGGCAGTGGCAGTGACACATAATGTCCATCCGATGAACTAATGTTTGAGAGTCATATGATGAAGATTGGTATCAGAGGCAGTATGTACATAGTTGCTATGGTAGATATGAGATGGAACACTAAGTGGATGCTCGTCCATGAGGAGATGGTGTCGCAATTTTTCTTGCAATGAGAAGAATGTGCATTGATGCGAAACTCACTTGTCACTACGAGGATGTTTAGCAAATGAATGAGAAGAATGTCACGCAACAAGAGTGCTCCACTTCCCTTTTTGCTTTTCAGACTTCAATTTTCACTTTTTAATTTTTAAAGTTGCCTTTGCCTAAATTTTCTAGCCATCAGCCTCTCAATTCTCAAATTTAAGAGACCATTTTTCTTCTTATACGATGGAGACTCCCATCATTCATACAATGCAGTAGAGTTTAAAAATATATTAGCGAGACTCATGCACGGATGCATCCTAAGGCCCTCTCCAACGTGTGCACCAAAACTCCATTTTGCACCAATTTTGGTGCAAAGTTAGTCCAATGTCCATCAAACTTTACACTATTTTGCACCAAAATGGTTAAGTACAATTTTGCCCTTCACTTTGAATTTGTAAAAATTGGTTAAGGGTATTTGTGTCCATTTTTGTTATACATATTTTCATACAATAAATTATTATTATTATTATTATTATTATTATTATTATCAAATTGGGTGAGAAGTGTTTGGGTGTTGAGAATTTATGATATGGCTGATTAATGGCCAGTTGGAGTAATTTAAAAGCCACGTGTGCAAACCGTCATCCACGTAGGCAACCGGTTTCGACGGAATTAGCCTGGTGATGGATGGAGTGCAACTTTACTAAGTTCAGTGAGTTATGGGAAGCAACTTAAAGTTAAGTTAGTGAAACGTGACATTTTGTAAAGTTCAGTGACCGTTGAAACAATTAACTC